CCTGCTGAAGAAACGAGCGAGATTGTTTTCTTATATATCTCGTATTATTCTCGTTTCACCAACCTACTTTACCAAATGCATGATCCACATGTATGTTTTTTTTTTCCCCACTTAAAATGAAAAAGAATCAACTTTTAATGATATTATTAGAACCATTATATTATTTTGTCTAATTCTGATCCATAACTGTTCAATTTGAATGTTATGTTTGTTTTTTATGCAAATGAAAGGAGTAAAATAATTTGATATCATTATGTATGTTTGACCATTAATGGCGCCCTTTTGACACAGTCACCAATCACCACTAGGGGAATCCACCAGAACTATGGATGCTGCAAAAACTTTAAATCATTTTCTACACAGATTCTCACAAGCCCACTTTTTGAAAATTTTTATTTCGCCCACTTTATTCTCTTCGTCTAACCTTTATATGTTAACCCATCTTCCTTCCCATATGTACCTTAAACTTTCCTTCCCTTTTTTCTTATGCAAAGTTATGGCCAACACAAGCAAAAAACTTGTCTCCCTCTTCACCTACTTCCTCTGCCTTCTTGGTCTGAGCCATTACTGTTCTTCCCAAAAGACTTGTCCACCTTGTGGCCCCATACAAGTCCCATATCCTCTAAGCACAAACCCGAACTGCGGCGACAAAGATTATACACTTCGTTGTGATCCCTTCTCTAAGAAACTTTACTTTGATGCCCTTAATGGAACTACTTATGTTGTACTAAGAATCATGGCACAACTTCAACGCCTTGTTGTAAGGCCATCACCATGGCTGCCTGGCAAATGTGTGACTCGGGACATGGAGGTAGGTGAAGGCCTGTGGTTAAACCAGTCCCTTCCCTTCAACATCACTTCCTCCAACACAATCTTCCTCCTCAACTGTTCTCCTCGCCTGCTGGTCTCTCCCCTGAACTGCACCCCTTCTAGCCTATGTCACCGCTACTTGGAGAGCTCGGGACATGTCGATTCAAAGCGAGCTTTCCAATGTGCGAGTGACCTTGATCCTTGTTGCACATTCATCGCTGGTGGGATGCCTTCCGCCTACAAGATAAGGCTTCACAGTTCTGGTTGTAGAGCCTTCCGAAGCATCCTTCATTTGGACATGGAAAAGCCCGCAAATCTGTGGGAAGAAGGGTTGGAGATTCAATGGGCCCCTCCACAAGAACCAGTTTGTAAGACACAACAAGATTGCTCTGGCGCTTCCAAATGTTCTCCTGCAGGAAATAGTGGTGTTTTTCGCTGCATATGCAATAGGGGATACCAATGGGACCATTCTCTTGGAACTTGCTTGAGAAAGAAGAGAAGTGCAAAAGTCGGCCTTAGTTTAAAGGTCTCAATTGGGGTGATCTCCTTTTTCTCTCTAGCTTTGGTTATGACTCTAGTTAGAGTAAGAAAGTCCTGCAGATTGTCTTCTAAACGCACGAAGCTTGCCAAGGCGAGAGAAGAAATGTTGGAGTGCCATGGAGGGAAGTCTGCCAAGGTGTTCAACCTGAAAGAAGTGAAGAAAGCAACAAATGGATTTTCCAAAGACAGGATTCTAGGAAGTGGGGGTTTCGGAGAAGTCTATAAAGGCGAGCTCCAAGACGGGACTATTGTTGCTGTCAAGTCTGCTAAAGTGGGAAACATCAAGAGCACAGAACAAGTACTAAACGAAGTTGGGATTCTTTCCCAAGTTAATCACAAGAACCTGGTTAAACTTTTGGGTTGTTGCATCTATTCGGAGCAGCCATTGATGATTTACGAATATGTATCAAACGGAACTCTTCATGCCCATTTACAAGGTAAGTATCCCACCTTCTTGGATTGGAAAACTAGGCTGAGAATAGCTCTACAAACCGCAGAAGCGTTGACTTATTTACACTCCTCTGCACATACTCCAATCTACCATAGAGACGTCAAGTCGACTAACATACTTCTCGACGATTGCATGAACGCAAAAGTAGCGGATTTTGGGCTCTCCAGATTGGCTTCTCCAGGTCTGAGTCATGTCTCAACATGTGCTCAAGGAACACTTGGTTACTTAGACCCCGAATACTACAGAAACTACCAGTTAACTGATAAGAGTGATGTTTATAGTTATGGGGTTGTGTTGCTTGAGCTTCTCACATCCCAAAAGGCCATAGATTTCTCTCGTGATCAAGATGATGTGAATTTAGCAACTTATGTGAGAGGGAGAGCCAAAAGTGATGCAATACTGGAAATAGTTGATCAAAGGCTAATGCAAGAGGAAAAGCCTTCTTCAAGTGATGTTTTGACAAGCTTAAAGCTCGTTCTAGAGCTTGCACTTTCATGTTTAAGGGAGAAGAAGGAAGATAGGCCTACCATGAAGGAAGTAGTTCAGGAACTCCAACGTATTATTCAAATTGTAAATCAAGAAAGTGTGTGAATTAGGTTAGGTTAGTATTGAGACTGTACGATATATAGATATGTACTTTTTCAAAGAATAATTCCCTTTCAACGGTTTGGAAACTTTTTAGTCGAGTTAATAGTGAAGCCACATATTACTGAGTGGAGCACCTGCTCTCATTAAAACTTTATACTTTAATTTTTTTTTTCTCAACGATTCCCATTTTATAATAAAAAAATGCAATTATACTCCACTCGATAATTAAAATATATAACTATATCCTCATTTTAGAAAAAAATCATATCTATTTTTTTTTTTTGTTTCATATTATCTCCATCCAAGTAGTATTTATGACTAAGTGATAGGTTTTGTTTTCTTGTTAAAGTAGTCTTTAGCCACCAAATGGAACTTCAAAAGGTCAATAAACCAATTTGAAAAAAAAGTGGCACCCTCTTCATTTAGGGGGCGTTTTACGGGGTCAAAGTAAAGATTAAGAGGATGTTTGGTACCTAGATTTGTTCCCTGATTCGAATCATGGTTCGTGGTTCGCTACAGTATTTTCTCTCACAAAAAATACACGTAAATCGAAAATAATTCTAATCACATGGTTCTAATCCATGAACCAAACATCTCCTAATATTAGAGAATATTGGAGAAAGTTGGAGAGAAATGATTCATTTCTCATTCATCTAAAAACGTGCAGAGTACAAAACAAAAACACATATTGTTGAGAGGAAAGTCACACATAGTGTGAACCAAGTCCAGCTCAGCAAGGGGAAGAAAATAAAACAAGCAAAATAGCTAATTAGTCCATTACTTTATTCTATTTACAAAAGGATCCCAACTATTCTAATACTCCCCCTCAAGATAGAGAATGGATGTTATGAATTCCCATCTTGCCAAGTAGAGCATGAAATTGTCCAGAAAATAGAGGCTTTGTTAGCAAGTCTGCTAACTGATGTTGTGAAGAAACATGCAGCGTCTTTAGTATACCAGCTTGAATCTTCTCTCTAACAAGGTGACAATTGATTTCTATGTGTTTTGTACGCTCGTGAAAAACACGATTGGCCGCTATATGCAAAGCTGCATGGTTATCACAGAACAACACTGTTGGTTTATGGTGATCCACATGCAGATCCTTGAGAAGGGAGAGCAGCCAGATGATCTCACAAGTTGCATTTGCCATGGATCGGTATTCAGCCTCTGTGGAAGACCTTGACACTGTCTGTTGTTTCTTAGATTTCCATGAGACAAGTGAGTCTCCAATGAAAACACAAAAACCACTAATGGACTTTCTTGTATCAAGACAAGTAGCCCAATATGAGTCAGCAAATGCTTTCAACTATATTGCCGAGGTAGAAGAGAAGAAAAGACCCTGACCAACCGTGCCCTTCAAGTATCGTAGAACACGACAAGCTGCCTGCCAATGAGTCACTTTAGGATTAGCAAGAAATTGACTTAACCGATTCACTGAATATGAGAGATCCGGTCGTGTGATAGTGAGATACAACAATTTTCCAATTAATCTTCTATACTGGGAAGGATCTTCCAGTGCTTCTCCATCATTTTGGGAGAGCTTCACATCACCATCCATGGGTGTTTTCCTTGTCTTGCAGCCAAGATGTCCTGAATCCAAGAGAAGTTCCAAGGCATAATGTCTCTGGCTAATTGAGATTCCTTTAGCAGACGTAGCAACCTCAAGTTCAAGAAAATATTTCAAGTCTCCAAGGTCCTTGAGTTTAAATTTGTTGTCAAGGAACTGTTTGAAAGATGTCACATAGTTCAAGTCATTGCTAGCAATCACAATGTCATCAACATAGACTAAAAGAACTATAAATGAAGAGCCTTGAATTTTAGTGAACAATGAATTGTCTGTAGTTGACTGCTTGAAACCTTTAGCAGTGAGAACACTTGAGAATTTTAAGAACCACAAAGTTCAAGTCATTGCTAGCAATCACAATGTCATCAACATACACTAAAAGAACTATAAATGAAGAGCCTTGAATTTTAGTGAACAATGAATTGTCTGCAGTTGACTGCTTGAAACTTTTAGCAGTGAGAACACTTGAGAATTTTGAGAACCACTATCGGGAGGCTTGCCTAAGTCCATAGAGGGACTTATGAAGCTTACAAATGACATTATTAGGCATAGTCTCCCCCTTACGGTGAAGACCAAGAGGCAAGGACATGTATACTTCCTCATCAAGATCACCATGCAAGAAGGCGTTATTGACATCGAGTTGGGTTAAACTCCATCAATGAATGGCTACTAAGGCAAGCAATGTTTTCACAATAACCAATTTTGCTACTGGTGAAAAGGTATCAAAGTAATCAACACTCTCTTGTTGAGTAAAACGCTTAGCAACTAAGCGAGCTTTGTAATGCTCTATGGAACCATCAGCTCGACTAACATGGCTTCACGCCACTCTGGAACAGCAACAGCCTCAGTAAAAGTGGTAGGTTCAACATTTGAAGAAATGGAACAAACTATAGTTTTATGAGGAATGGACATCTTGTCATAAGAGGGCACTTTAGACCATGGGTGAGCAGTGGAACTGGAAACATAAGTAATGGAAGAACAGTGGTAATCCTACAAATAAGAATGAGGTTTTCGAGGACAAGTGGGATGTGTGATAGCGGTATGAGCAGGGTCAACAAGAGGCAGTGGGGAAGGATGATCAAGAAGAGAAAGTGGCAAGACGCGATCAGAAAAGAAATCCTGAGAACTAGATTTGGAAGTAGAATCACAAAAAGGGATGATAAACTCATGAAAAACGACATCACGTGAAATGAAAATGGCATTGGTGGTGAGATCAAGAAGCTTGTATCCTTTGTATCCAGGTGGATAACCCAGGAAAACAGCTTTGGTAGCACGAGGAGAGAACTTGGTTCTATGTCTAGCTAATGTGGAGCTATAACATAGACAACCGAAGGCTCGTAAATGTGAGTATGAAGACTTCCTTTTCCATAGGAGTTCAAAAGGCGTTTTATTAGATATTATATTAAAGAATATTGGAGAAAGTTGGAGAGGAAAGATTCATTTCTCATTCATCTGAAAACATGCATGAGTACAAAACAAAAACATATATTGTTGAGAGGAAAGGCACGCACAGCGTGAACCAAGTCCAGCTCAACAATGGGAAGAAAATAAAACAAGCAAAATAACTAATTAGTCCATTACTTTATTCTATTTATAAAAGGATCCCAACTATTCAAATAACTAAAAAGAACCATTTGTGTTAAAGAGGCTTTTTTTTTTTTTTAGGTCTTTGAATATTCATGTGAAGGAGTGGATGTAAAAAGGTGGTGTAAATGATGCCTATAACGACTGATTTGAAGTAGCCCACGTGAGCCAAAGTGAACCCAAGGATGGATATGATGGGCCGAAAGGACCTTAAAAAAAACTAGGATCAGATGCTTTATTTTGTACAAGAAAAGTTGGAAACTTGGAAATGATCCAAGAAATAAGGAATAAGGGGTGCGTTTAGAATTAGTTTTAAAATAATTTTATTTTTTTGTATGAAAATAAAAATGAAAACGTTTTCATTTTTATTTTAAAATTATTTCTGAAACTGCGTTTAGTGGTTTAATTTTTGAAAACATGTAATAATATTTAAATTAATAATATATTGAATAAATAATAATATTAAATATATTAAATACGTTATGTTGTTTAACCTTTTATTTCTTATTCCCTTATCCCTATTCTGCCCTCAGATTTTCACCCATTCTATACAAATGCAACTATACTTTTTTACTTATTTCCTGATTTATTCAACTTTTTTTCATTCACCTGGTAGTCTGTGGACAACATTGTATTTTAGTCGGAGAAGACTGGGGAGGGAGGGGTCGTAGTCGCAGGCACCCCGGGGGGGCGCGGTGGGCAGTCGGAGAAGACGGTGGCGGGCAGTTGGAGAAGATGGTGGCGGGCCAGTCGGAGAGGAGCGACGGTGGGCTTTTGCCGGATGTCCCGCGTCTTCTTCGGCTGGAGAAGAGAGAGAAGAAAAAAAAATTGAAATCCGTTTTTAAAAAACGAAAACGTGAAAATGAAAACGTCTTTTTTTCGTTTTCAATTTTTCACAAAAAGACAAAAACGTTTTTGTTTTTATTTTTTAAAAAGTTTTTAGATTGTGTTTTCATTTTTTAGTTTCGAAAAACGTGAAAAATAAAAACAAAAACAAAAACAAGCAGGCCCAAGGATTCCCCGACATGGGATTTATTTAGCACAGATTTTCTGGTTACAAAAGAAGAAAAAAAAAAGCAAATTTGCCTTAGAAAAATAGAGAAAGCATTTGGCATACAGAAAATTTTGGCAATTGTCAAACTAGGACACCATTAGTGTCACATAAAGAAAGCAGTAATAAAAAGGCGTTTGGCTTCTCATTGTCAAAATGAGAAAGCACCAACAAAAATGCACGATAATTGTATATTTTAAGTGTTGAGTTCTTTGACACTCGATCCAAATGGCAAAAGGAGAAAGATTAAGGGCCCGTTCGGTTCGCTAATTCGAGTTTTTAATTTAAGTTGAGATGTGATATTGTGTGAGAGCTTTTTACTGTAATAAAAAAATTAGATGTGACTGTTTCTGAGAGCTTTTTACTGTATCAAAATTCAAATTCTAAACTCGAATCAACGAAAAAAACAGGACCTTAAGAGAAGTGTTCAGTGCTAGAATCTGCATTGGAATAGTGTGAAGCTTTTTGTCACGTTTGCATTATAAAAACGATGATTTTGGGATCACCCGTTGCATTTTAACTGGTCCAAGGGAGAGAGAGTGAGTGGGGGAGGGAGAGAGAGAGAGCCTCTCTGCTCCAATAAAATTCTTTGGCTAGTGGAGAACTGCCAAAGGGCTCTAGAAAAATCCATCCAAGTTAGTGGTGTTATTTCTGCATTAAGCATGGTTTAATTGGCAGGATTCAATTGAGAGGAGCACTAATTACTAACGTTATTTGTTAGATTTTAAAAGCGCAATCCTCATCATCTTATCAAGTTCTCAACAACTTTGAGTTATAGTTCAGATTTTAGAATACTTATGAAGCAAATCAAGCAAACTTATGTTGTCGTTTAAAAAAAAAAAGGTGAACTATAGTCTTCTGATATAACAATCTTTCAATGTACAACGGCAAGAAAATCCAGCTATACGTTAAGGGAAAAATATGTGAAACTATTTTATATAGGTCATTTTTATCTTACAACAGATGAATTGATACTAACATGTCGCATAATAATTGAACTGATCAGTATGATGTTATATTGAATATAACACGTAAAATATAAAACAGACCTCCTACCAATGTGCATGTGTAAGAATGACAAAATAGACAATCTATACATTTACACATGTACATTATGGAAGCCTTTTTCATTTGTATGGGACATGAAAGGCATAAGCATTCAGACCAAACAAGTATAGATGGTGTGTGCTCGATCTTTTTGCTCCATTGTTGAATTTTGCTATTTGGAATGACATATCTCCCATTTCCTCTCAAAAGAAAGAAAAATTCACATGAATAATCATGGAAATCAGCCTATAAAATGGGCAACATGACATTTTTTTTTTTTTTTTAAAAAAGTGCCTTTCCAGAGAATGGGATTAGTCAAATGAATGTTATTACTCAACATTTCGTATAAAATATATTATAACAGTTTTTGCTTCCCTAATGCGTGGGGAGTAGCAATCATGGTTACCATTTATAGTATCAACAAACAAGGAGAGAGATGAGAGAGGACAATGGTGGGGTAATTCCAAATTACGAATCATGATAGGGTAAGAACCTTCATTTTCCAAGAAATATTGCTAAATGAAAACTTCTAAATCCCCCCATCAATAAATTATTAACACTAACTTTAAGTGGCATGTCATTGAAAGGAAGATAAAGGATAGACGATTTGTAATTTGTTACATATTATTACTTAAGCATGACGTTCTAAGTTTCATATTATTCGACTTCTTCATGACATGTAGCTATTAGATTATCATAGTACTATGTGATGTTCTTCACATATCATTGGTTGAAGAATAGGACATCTTCCCTGAATTAGGAAGCATAATTCTTTGTTTTTTGTTCCTACCATTTTGTTTTTCTTGTCCCCTCCATTTGTGTGTTTGCGCGCATAGAGATGAGAGAGAAAACAGAGAGAGAGAATGTTACATTGTTGACAAACCTGGCCCATTTCAAGGTTTCAAACGGGATGAACCTGAATGGAATATTTATGCTGCATACCACAAAATTGGGTGAGGATCGACTTCTACCACAGGGGGAAAAACTCTCAATTTTTCTGCCATGTGGAAGAACAAAAGTTAAACTAAAAAGTCTAAACCACCCTCAAAGTTAAACCATCAGATTCTCTCTCGTCGATCGATGATGAGCAACGCTGAGGCCTTGACTCTACGAGGTAGATTCATGGGCAATCTAGTCTTCCCCTCACCTTCGCTCTTCATAACGAGATCTAGAAAGAAATCGCTTTCTAGATCCCTGTGCAAATATCGCTAGTGAAAACGACAATCTCTATCCGAGGATCATAGGCAACACATCTCCGAGAGATCTGGTTTTCCTCAGTGCTATCGACATGGTCTTCTTTAGATCTACGCGCTTCGCGACGGAATATGGAAAGATTGCATCTTCACGATGAGAACAACAGCAAGATCTCATCAATCTGCTAACAGTCATTCATCAAAAACTCGTCACCACTCTGGTCACTATTGCCGAGGAAGATGAAGGTCAATCGGCGTAACGGCATCACCAGCAGGGAACCGTTTGTTTTATGTGTTTTCTGTGCAAGTCATTTGTTTGATTTGGTGAATTATTGTGATTTTTTAAGTATCTTTGATAGAAAGCTATGGTTGGTTCCACTGGTGTCACGGTTGGATACTGGCCGGTATCACGATGGTTACTAAACAAAAACCACCAGCCGTTCAGTATCACGGCGGTTACCGATTGGTCAACAACTTGTATCATAGCAGTTACCGGTTAATAACAGCTGGTAATGTAAGGGTATATTTGGAATTCTGATTATATTGTGATGACGTAGCTGTGGTATTCTCCAAGCTAAGATTTTGTTTTAATCCTGTAAAGAGCCCAACCTGAATTCCTGCGCCCAGGCCCGGCAAAGACACATGAGAATCTAGAAAATGCGTGTTAAAAAGTTGAGAAAGACATTGAAACTTGAAAGAGCCAATGCAAAATCGTAATAGTAATAAAGTTACATCTGTTACATAATTAGACTCAGCCCTCAAGCACAATTAGCCAAAAATCAAGTATTATTCACAAAATTCTATTGCAAAAAAACAGAAGTTCAGGACTTGTCTACCAACTCGATGAACTTCACTAACCAATATTTCACAGGTGTCCCCACATAAACGTAACATACCTCATTTCACCTTCGGTAGCGGTAACGTTTAAAGTTGAAGTAAACATGCAGAATTCCACGCTCAAATGTGCATTTGAATCCCTTCTTGTGAGAGTATTCCCATTCCTTGTTCACAATCCGGAAAGCCTGTGATACAACAACAACAACCATTAAGAGCAACTTAAAAATAAAAAGTAAAAGTAAAAGTAAAAATAAACGTAGGATCAAGAGAAACATACAATGTCCTCATAAGGTGGCCCTGCATGGAAACGTATAATGCATGTCTCACTACTATTCCCATCCTTCTCAATAGTGAAATTTGGAGCCTTTGTCTTGTCAACAAGGTCTGGATAGAAGATGTTGAACTTGTATCCTTGTACAATCTTCGGAGGTGGGTTATCGTGATCATAGTGAGTCTGGTTGTATTTATTCCACTCGTAGCCGGTATGAACCCGGTTGAAATATTTCGGCTTTCTCGGTCGGTACTTATCGTGCCACCAGTACACCTGATTGGCATGGGAACAAAATTAAATTTCTAAAGGTATCAAGAGCAAAAGTAAATAAGATAAACGAAGAGGAGAACAGATAGATACCTGTGAATCCAGGTTCACTTCAGCACCCGAGCCGAAGACTGCATCCCCTTCCTCCATGGTTCCCATGGCTTTCATGGCCTTCGTCTCGAAGTTGTCTACTGGTGGAGCTGACTTTGATGCCATGGCTTCTTGATACCTTCTTTGCTGCTCTTCTAAGACAGCAATACGCTTCCGTTCCTGTTGATATACCAAAGGAGTCAATATGGTCATAAAGATGTTTGTACTTCATACTTGCAAGTAAATCAAAAGCATTCTGATATGTAAGTTACCAAAATAGCCCTGTCCTCTTCAGGGTCAATTGCTTCCTCGTTTTCATCACCATGCAATAGTTCTGGCGAAAACGATCCAGCCTCTTCTTCACCCTCTTCTTCAGCCTCACAAATTTCTGCTTCCTTCACGGGCTCTGGAGAATATGGCCGAGAATCTAAATAAGGAAAAGATATAAGATTAGCAAAGTATTAATGATACAACAACGTCAAACTCACAAATGAAAAAGAAAGTGTACCTTCAACATCATGTTCACTCTCTCTCTCCTCTTCATATTTTAAATCATGAGCAGTCTCCAATCTTTCTTCACCATCCACTGGTTGCTCAAGGCGATGCAAGTACTGGCGCAACATTTTCGCGTGGATTTCCTTCAAAGAAGCCTGTTTGTAGCAATTGACCAGTGAGGAACAAGACAGTAGTTTTAAAAAAAGATACACATGCATTGAAGAATTTAATGATAAGTACCTTGGCCTTGTATATGTGAAGGCGTTTCAGGATAGCCTCCCAGTACTCAACCACTTTAGCTGAGCCAGAACGCATCTGTGACTCGATCTGAGATTGCAGTGCCTCCAATTCGCCATAACTCTTTCCTTCTAAGAGGTTCCTCACATCAGTTTCAATGCTAGAGTGCAGGCCCCTTTCTTCTGCAAGCAACTCAGCAGGAGGCTCCTCCCCACGCACCCTAGCTCGATCCAATGCATCTTTCTTCCTAGCTTCTGCTAGCTCCCAATCACAAACAACCAGAAGCGCCTGTTGAATGGCACTTATCAAGACAAGTCCAACATAAGCATTTACAGCAATCATCTTTGCAATGTATACGTACATAAACAAGTTTCAGGTGATCATATCAAGTCCAAGTAATTATTATAATGAAAAAACTCTATTGCAGTACACAAAGACATCATGCTATTGCATGTAGCTAGGAGATCATTATATATATATATATATATATATATATATATATATATCTAAAATATAACCAAAAAAGAAATAAGAAATCGGAGAACTTGTAAATTGAAGACTCTAGCAAGGTTCATAGTATGCGTGTATTAAGGAAACGGAAAATGAGGAATACCTCCCAATACTCTATATGTGTTAATGTTGCCCTGTCCAAATCCAGATGCATTTTGATATCATCGCGGAGCTCTTCCATTTCTTTTACTGTCAATCCCTGCATGATGTTTTTTTTCAGTGCCTATGTTTCACGAGATTCCCAAACATATTACAAGCTACATAGTAACTATGCCACCCGAAAACATAACATGAAGACGAAACTTTGATTACTGATTTTATTCACTTCATGAAAGAAGAAAAATCAAAGAAGAAAAGGAATGTACAAGGTTATGAGAGAAAGCTCAAGACTAACAAGGGATACATACCTTGAAAACCAGATAAGGCTCATTTATATCTATATCAAAATCATCTGAGCCGTTGAGGTGCTTGGACAATATATCAATAGGCTTTACACGTCCTTCACGCAATCTAATCTCAGACCTGACTTTGCTTTGATCAAAATGAAACTGTATATAGAACAAATGAATTAATCAGTTTACAAGTAAAAAGAAACGAAAATGCAATCATGGCTACAAGAACCTTGCAACAAGAAACGCGAGCTTTACAATAGTAAAATGAGTAATTATGGGATGCAGATATTGATAGCTAATTAGTATTGTACCTCTTCTTCTTTCTTCTCCCAGTCCTGGTATTCAGCCCGAGCACGTTCTCTGGCTAACAATGCCTGCAGAAAAAACACAGTTGATGAACCAAATTGCAACAAATTAAGGAAAGAACAATGGCAGGATATCATAATTCTCCTGTCGACATTATCTAACCGGATTGGTGGGAAAAACAAAGACAAAAAGAAAACTCGCCGCATAGGGGTAAACTGACCATTTCTTCCTCATGCCGTGCCTTTTCAAGTGCCCTTTCTTCTCTTCTCTTTTTAACCTTTTCTATCTCTGCCTGCATTTTAAATTCACAAGAAAAATATTAAAACTTAAAACTTACAGCAGTCCCAGATCAAGATATAGACACAACATCACCCACATAAAGTTTGTTTGGAAAGGATATAGTAGACCAGAATTCGAAAAAAAAAAAAAAAAAAAAAAAAAAAAAAAAAACAAAAAATCAAAAAAAAAAAAAAATAAAAAAAAAAAAAAATAAAAAAAAAAAAAAATAAAAAAAAAAAAAAATAAAAAAAAAAAAAAAAAAAAAAAAAAAAAAAAAAAACACACACACAAAGGAACCACTTTCATATTTCATAAAGCATGGGAGGAGTGAATAATTCATTTTGCCATCAATTCCTACTAATGTATTTATGATGAAGCCTCAATAAAATGTGTCGAAAACTCCTTACACCCTTTATATTTTGCCATGAATTTTAAGTAACTTCTTCAAACAAGCTCCAAGACAATACACATCCACATATGGAAACCAAAGCCGAAACAAGTCTCTAACTTGTACATTAAAAAAATAAAATAAAATAAAAATTTACAACTTCGGTACTAGACAGACAAGAAATTTAAACACAAATAACAAGCAGAGAAGTAATTAGACGCACCATCCTTTCTTTCTGTTTTTTTTTCTCAGCTTTAACTGAAAACATGTCAAGAGAAGCTCCATGAGTAATGTCACGCTCGATCTTCTTCCGCCACACAAATCTACAGATTACACATTACAAACTAAGATTTCTAATTCACACAATTTACCCAAACAATTCCAATTCTACATAAGAATTTGGCAAAAGAAACTCACTTCTCGTTGAGATTAGAATCACCGAAGGGATTCGAATCATTTGAATAGCCAGAAACCGTCGGAGCCTTCAACTTCTTCGCAACTCGCAGTGCCTACGAAATCAAAAGGAAAGGAAAAGGAATCAGAATCTCAGAATCGCCAAAAACTAATTGATCGAAAAACCCTAGATTCCCGTTCCGAATCCAAAACCTTTTTCTGCGCTTTCTTAGACATGTACTCGGCAATTTCCTCTTCCGTAATCTCCCTCGACGACCTCTTCTTCTTGCGTCCACGGTCATCGCTGTCGTCGCTGCTTCCGGAGGATTCATCGGAGTCCCTCCCACGGCGCCGGCTCCGGCGGCTGCTCTTGCTGCGACTGTCTCTGTCTCGGCGCTTGCTCCTGACCGGCGACGAGTCGCGGCTGTCCGACCTGTCCGAGTCGGAGTAATCGTCGAATTCGGAGTCGTCAGATCTTCTGCTCCGCCGTCCAGATTTGGAGGAGGACGACGGTCTTTCCTTGTCGCTCTTGCTGCTTGGGCCATGAGTACCCATGGGACTTCTTCGGGCGAATGATAAAAGAGACTCCTTTCAAGCGGATGAAACTTCAAGTAGGCTTGGGTGGGCCTTTTAGCGGTACGGTAAAATTTTACTGCTACGTCGGTTAACTTTATGAATTTAAATTTTTAATTTGAGTTAAAATATAATATTTTTTTAAAATTTTTAATTATAATAAAATAATTAAAGGGAATATTTTTAAAAAAATATTAACCGTAAAAATTTAAAATTAAATTTTTAAATAAATAAAATGAACCACGCATATATTAATATTAGTTGCGGTTACGTGGTCCGCAAGTGTTGATGTAGTTAAAAAAATAAAGAAACAATTAAATAGAGCCCATTTGGTAAAGGGATTCGTTCCCTAATTCGAATCATGATTCATAGTTCGCTACAGTATTTTTTCTCACAAAAAATATACGTAAATCAAAAATAATTCTAATCACATGATTTTAATCCATGAACAAAACGGATCTTAATGGCGTTGGCTATAGTGCCCCAGTTGATAAACGAATGGGCTGGTCCCCATTAAATCTCAGCCCTTCATTTTTTAACTTTTGTTTTTTTATTTCAACTTACGTTTAGTTCGTGGTTTAGAATCATGATATTATAACTATTTTTTATTTACGTGTATTTTTTGTGAGAAAAAATACTGTAACGAATTACGAACTATGATTTGAATCGGGATACGAATCTCCCAACCAAACAACTCGTGATGAGGGTATGGAGGGACATTTAGGTCCCGTTTATTTTATCGATTTGAGTTTAGAATTTAAATTTTATTACAGTAAAAAACTCTCAAAAATCATCACTTCTAACTTTTTAATTATAGTAAAAAACTCTTAGATAAAATTATATCTCAACTCAAATTAAAAAATTAAATCAACAAATTAAAAGGACCCTTATTATTTTAGTAAAAGGCTACCAGCTGGCTAAGGGATGTTAAAAAATAAATTTTTTTTTTTTTGGTTGTCAAGTACGAAACTACGAATTCAATAAGGCCTTCTCTGGATGTTTTGGGAACGACACGAACAAAATAATGGGAGGTGAACATCAGGGTTCTTCGGTGGAAGGTGAAAATCAAACAAAAAGAGGCCATCTTGAACGACACAGCAAATCATACGTCAATAAACCAGAAATCAAAACTAGTAGATCAAGCAATGCATATGAAGGAATCAATGAAAGCACCTTACAAAAACCATAATCTAACCCAAGAAGAAATTCAGAGAAAATATAAAAATGAAAACAGATCATCATCATCATCATAAGGGATTAATAATTTAGTTGCTATGAAAAGCTTAATGTCCATTAAGTTCTAATGGGAAATATATATACATAAAAATGATCTTAAAAGTCTGCTCTATTCAGACTACATTTCCTATTCTATTTCATATTACAAGGGAAAGAATCAAATCAATGATATTCATAAAAGTCAATGATCATTTTACTTCTAAGATCCCGTATTTTTCTTAACACTCCCTCTCAAGTTAGAATAGATATTAATTGTTCTTAACTTGCTGAGTAAGTTCAAAAATTATGGTAATGCCAATGACTTTGTAAAGATGTATGCTGGTTGCTTCAATGTAGATATGTGGAAAGTCTTGATTATTCCAGCCTGAATCTTTTCTCTTATAAGATGGCAATCAATTTCTATGTGCTTGGTACGCGCGTGAAACACAAGATTAAAGGCAATGTGGAGTGTTGCTTGATTGTCACAATATAGCTTAACTAGTTGTGAATGATTAACTCTGAGATCATGTAAGACATACCACAGCCAAGTAACCTCACAGCAAGCCGATGCCATGGAGTGATATTCCGCTTCTGCACTTGATCGCGAAACCGTGGGTTGTTTCTTGGTTTTCCAGGAGATCAAGGAATGCCCAAGTGATTACGCCCAAACGTGTACAAAAACAAGCGGTCAATTGTAGTACAATTTGAACGGTCGATCCCACAAGGAAGTGTTAAATTGAACAAGAAATGATTAGCAAATAAAAAACGTTAGGAAAGTAAGCAATCAAACAAAGAAAAAGAATGAGTATTTTTGATGATTTTATGAACAATTTAAAATGGAGAAAATTCAATAAATAAAAGTGGTAAGGCTTTGAGAATCCTCCATATGCTTTGTTCACCTATTTGGATTTTGATTCATAAATTGACTCAATTGAAAGTTTCACATCCCAAACAATCAATCGGAAAATAAATATTTGAAGAACATATGAATTAAAAATGTATTCGAGTAAATAAAATTCTAACATTTAGAATTAGGAAAAATTATCTTATGAGAAATCCAAGAGCGACAATATACCGTTGGCAATAATGCAGTAAAAGACTACTCATAAAATAATACCGATCAATATATCATATAATGCAACAATCACATAAAAAGAGCTTGACTAGATTTATATGAGAGTTGACAATAAAATATATTGATAAGAAGAAGAAATATGATAAAAGAAAATTATTTACTCAAATGTATAAAACTTACAAACCATTGGAGAATCAAAAATTCAAATAAGTTCACTACACATATAAGATCATCTCTAGCCTCACCTAAATACTCTAGCCTAACTTGCACATAATTCCCATAAAATTCTAAAAAGAAAGTATGAGAATAAGAACAAGAAAATAAGAGAAAATGTGTGAGAATTTAGACTCTAAAAA